TACTGTAACAGGCTGGCAAATGCTGGCTGCAGCAGGGCTGTAGTGAATCATGCCAGTCATCCATGCTGACAGGAGGCTATTTATTTAGTACAGGATCTTGCTACGCAGCTCGGACTTGGAGTGACCCTCCCGCCTCGGTCTCCCCAGCCCAGGGCTTACGGGCATGACCCACCATGCCCACTTTCAGTGGCTGCCAGGGCACACTTGGGATCCTGGGGTTGGCAGGGCATGCGGTACTGGGAATCAAACCCTGACCCTTAGGCTTGCCAGGCAGGCACTTAGCCGCCAGGCAGGCACTTAGCCGCCAAGCTAGCTCCCTGGCCCCTGCATTTTCAATTCTTATAAACTGTTCTAACCTTCAGGAAGAAATGTAAACATACCTGTACATACCACAACATGATCTGGGTCATATTTATACACTATTCATGTATATTCACACACACACACACTGTACCAGGTAATTATTTCTGGTAGTGAAATAAGAATCATGAGGTAAAAAAAAAAAGAATCATGGGGTGGTGTAGTGAAATCTCATACCAAATAAATAAAAGAATTTTTAAAAATCATAAATTCTAAAAGATTTTATCAGGTTTTCTTTCTTTATTCTTTTTTTTTCTTTTTCTTTTTTTTTTTTTTTTTTTTTTTGCGGAACCAGGGACTTGAACTCAGGCCCTTGCGCTTGCCAGGGAAGCGCTTATTCCATTGAGCCATCTCCCCGGCCCTTATTCATTGTTTTTTATGAGTTTTTGTTTGTTTGTTATTAGTTTTAAAAGACTCCTTAAAGCATCTCAGATGAAAAGCAATTAGGATTAAAAGTTTTAACTTAACATCCTTTAAACCACTGAAGCGGGCTGGCGAGATGGCTCAGTGGTCTAAAGCACCTACATGGAACAAGCTTGGCAAAGCACAGGGACCACGGTTTGATCCCCCAGCACCACATGCCAGCCAGCCCCGCCCCCTGGTGGGCTGAACTGGCCACACACACACACACACACACACACACACAATAAATAAATAAATAAATAAATAAATAAACCACTGAAGCTGGGGCTGTCAAGCTAGCTCAGTGGACCCTAAAGTGCCTGCTTAGGCAAACTTAAGCAAGTGCAGGGGCTGCAATTAGACCCCCGGCAGCCACCACATTAGCACCAGCCCTGCCCCCACAGTGGGCTTAGCTGGCTAGAGTCCTGGTATAGTGGCGCAGGCCTGTAATCCCAGCGCTGGGGAGGCTGAAAGCAGAAGGATCACCATGAGTCCTAGCTGTGTAGTGAGACTCTGTAACAACCAAGTACATAAAAAACAAAAAATAAATAAAAAATAAAAAGTTAGTAATGAACCACTGAGGCTTCATTAAACTCCTTTCATCAACTAAACTTTTCTACCTTCTTTGTTTGGTATTAGGGATTGAACTCAGAACCTTGTCTCTGAGGATTGTAGGCATGCTCTACCACACCCAGCCAGTTGCGCAATATTAAGGAAGGTTTAAAAACCATGCATAGCTACTGGCTTTCTACTTCTGGGTTTGCAATTCAAGATGCTGGTGCATGCCTGTAATCCCAGCACTTGGGAGACTGAGGCAGGAGGTTCACCACAAATTTGAGGCCAGCTACAAAGTGAGTTCAAGGCCACCCTAAACAAACAAACAACAAAAAAAGCTATTTGCCCTCACACCCTTCCTGGTCCTTCATAGTCCTTTGCCTCAATTCTTCTACACTACAGATTTTTCTTCAGCTATTGTACAAAGAAATTGCAATGTATATTTTCATGTAATTTGATTTTGGAATTCTGTCATTTTATATAGTGAATTCTTCTAAAATATAATCTTTTTTCTTTTTGGTACTGGGACTCATAGTGATCTGCCTGTTTATAGCCTCCTAAGAGCTGGGAGTACTGGTACTCAAACTCAGGACCTTGCAATTACCAGCCAGGTGCTTGTGCTGCTGAGCTAGATCCCTGGTCCTCAAAATATAATCTTTTTCTAATAATTGTCAAGTTGTTGGCTTTTTTATTTTATTTTATTTTATTTTATTTTATTTATTTATTTTTGGCTGGCTCAGCCTGCCCTGAGGGCGGAGCTGGAGCGGCATGTGGTGCTGGGGGTCAAACCACTGTCCCCTGTGCCTGCCTAAGCTTGCCTCAGCAGGCACCTTAGACCACTGAGCTATCTCACCGGCCCTGTTGTTGGCTTTTTGTACTGAATGAAGGCTGTGACACTGAATGCCGAGAACTGTAGTTTAGAAAATCTCAGGCTGATTCCTTATGGTGTTCCGGCCCACACATGAACTTACTGAGACTGACCACGCCTCAGGCCAGACAGTGGCCACTGGGTTGACACTGCTTCACAGGGCCCAGAGTGCCACAGGAGCATTCTGGCCCCTCCAGAACCACTTCCTGGTCACCCTGCCTCTGGGGCTTCTGAAAGGCAGGAAGGAAGGCAGCCAGCTGCACTCCTCAGACTCATGAGGAGGACGCACTGGTATTCTGCACTGGTAGTTAGGGTCCCTGGAATCCCTGTGAGTCTCATTTATTTTTTATTTTTTATTTTTTATTTTTTTTTTTTTTTTGTCCTGGGGATCGAATTCAGGACCTCGTACTTGCCAGAGCTCTCTCTCCAGCCCTGAGTCAGACTTTCTGACTTCAGTTCCCCTCCCCACAACATGGGCAGAGTGCCACATCCCACTGGAGCTTTGTGAGGCCTGGAAGGCTCCCCTGACAGCCCCTCCAAGTCTTTGGCTTCCACACTTCATGCACCAAACTATGAGGTTAATCACCAGGAAGGACACCAACCACGCACTGGCCAGCCAGGAAGGCGACGTGAGGCGTCCCTCCATCCAGGCTCCAGCTGCAACTCGGCACCTCCCGAGCTCTCTTCAGAAGGGTCTAAGCCCTTGCATCCATCCAGTCGGCAGAGGGTGCTGCTGGCTGCCAGGAACCCTGGCCAATGGGCCGCGGAGGTCTCCTGCAGCCAAATCGACCCTGTCCATCGTGGCACAAAGGGCCTAAAATGACCCACGCTAAAGGGTGCAGTTTGATTTGCTTTGGTTTGGATTTTACTGTTGCTGCTGTGAGACAGGCCTTGCTGCCCAGGCTAATCCAGAGCTCATGTGCTGACCTGATCCTCCTGACTCAGCCTCCTGAGAAGCTGAACGACAGCTGCACATCACCCCACAAAGAAGGGAGATTTAACAATATTAATTTTCACTTCTTCACAAAGACAAAAAGGTTAATATGCACTATGTGCTTGAAAATTGCTAAGAAAGCCCTGGGCACAGTGACAAATAGCCATAATCCTGAACTCTGGAGAGCATGGCCCGGACAACCGCTCTGTCCCAGCTATCTTGTTGTTAGAGTGAACACTGGCTCTGTGAAGAAGGCAGACAGCTGCTCAGAGCACCCTGAAAATAGCTCTGGCCTCCCAGCCCTGTGTGGAAATGAGCAGGCACCAGGAGCTGCTGCCGAAGCTCAGCACAGGGCAAGCGGGAAGAGGCGCCTCTCTGGGGTGGCAGCCTCGGGAGAGGCTCTTGGGAAGTGGGGGAAGCAAAGGCAATGCAGCGAAGTCCAGTGGCCACCCCAGGGATCAGAGGTGGCAGTGGACATGCAGAGGGTCATCAGCTGGGGGCTGGGGACAAAGCACTCGCCTAGCATGCATGAGTCCTGGGCACTATTGCCCACACTGAAAAAAACAAAAGTAATCAATGTAGTCTTCAGCCCCTGGGTGGGACTTTGAAATATGATTTCCCACTCAAGGGAGCCAGGGTCCTTGGAGGCCGGGGCAGCCTCTAGGGAGGCCGGAAAGGCGGCAACATTGTGCCCTCGAACTGTGGGACGATGTTACTGGGAAAGGCATCTCTGCATGTGAGTGAAGAGTCTTACTACAGGAAAACCACCTGGACTGTTGGATAGGCCCGAAACATGTGTGCATGTGGTGTGACACCCCTGAGCCAGGGCACACCCTGAGGAGGGATGGCTGAAGCACATAGTAGGAGTATTTGTAATTTTTTGACCAAATACCATACTATTTTCCATGATACCAATTACATTTCCATTGACTATGAAAAATTCCCTTTCTCCACACTTCTACCGTCAGGTCAGCATTCTCTTTTGTTTTGGTTTTCTTGATATAGAGTCTTGCTGGGCAGCTCAGGCTGGCCTTGAACTCACTCTGTGACATTGGTTGGCCTCAGCCTCGCAGCGATCCTCCTGCCTGTGCCTCTCAAGTCCTGGGACTGCTGGTGCGTGTCTCTTCCCCCAGCTCTCTTTTATCTTTTTTATTTATTTATTTTTTCTTCCGTCTTTTTTAACAACAGCTACTCTAAAGAATGAGCGGTGGCACTCTGTGCTTTTAGTTTGCAATTTTCTGCTGATTCGTGGTATTGAGTGTTTTTTTTATGTGTTAGTTATTTGTCCCTGTCTGTCTGTCTGTCTCCCTCCAGCCCAAATGTCTGTTAGCTATTTGTCTCTGTTTCCGTCTCTGTCTCTCTCTCTCTGTCTCTCTCTGTCTCTCTCTCTCTGTCTCTGTCTCTGTCTCTCTCTCTCTCTCTGTCTCTCTCTCTGTCTCTGTCTCTGTCTCTCTCTCTCTCTCTGTCTCTCTCTCTGTCTCTGTCTCTCTCTGTCTCTGTCTCTCTGTCTCTCTCTGTCTCTCTGTCTCTCTCTGTGAGGTGAGGTCTTGCTGGATTCCCTAGGCTAATCTCAAGCTCAGGGATTCAGTCAGGAAAATAGCTCTGTGGTCTAAGTGCCTGCCTGGCAAGCACAAGGACCCAGATTCAATCCCCGATACTACATGCTGTGCCAGGATCCGCCTGCCTCAGTCTCCCAGAGAGCTGGGATTGGAGGGATGCACGTCCAGCCTGTTTTGTTGCCATTTCTAGGATGTGGGGACAAGTTGGGCCATTGGTCTCTCAAGCTCTGGAACACAGAAGCCAAGCGGTCAAGCAACGCTTAGGGTGGCAACGTCCCTTTGTTAGAGCTATGCCTGCTGCCATAGAGAAGAGACACCCACACATTGTGTCAGGGTATTTACTGCAAGGAAGGGTGCAAATGGCCATGGAGGAAGGGGCCTGGGAGTGGGTATGTGGAATTTCCAGCAAAGCCATGGTGGGGTCGTTGTCCCTGTGGAGCTAGTACAGTGCTGGGTCACCAGCTCAGGACCCCGGGGCAGAACTTGTCAACCAGAGCCTGGTAGTAGGGCCGAAGCTTGTCCACATCTGGCAGGTCAGGGCACTTGGTGTAGAGGTCAAACTTGCTGCAGGGTTCAGGGACAGTGAGCCTCACAATAGCATCCCTGTTTGTCACTGTCCCCCACCGCCGGGTCCTTGGGAAGCCCTACTTGAACTCCTGCACCCAGGGCAGCATGTCCAAGTCCTGCTGGCTGCACAGTTGCCGGTAGTCGCCCCCCGTGTGCCATGGGTAGAAGGAGTGGAATCGGATCATGTAGAAGGCCTGCAGACCACACCTGCCAGTTCAGCTGCCTGGCCCAGGGGACAGCACAGCAGGGCGGGGCTGCCCACACACACCTACCTCCTTGGGCAGGGAAACTTTGTTGAACTTCATCATCTGGTACAGGTACTCTGCAGGACAGGGGTGTCAGCACAGGCCGCTGGAGAGTAGCCCTGACCAGCCCTGCTGCCCCCCAGCCCCGTGGTCTCACCATCATGGCCCCAGGACATGAGGACGTTCTCCAGCCCACAGTGGGGCTGGTACATGCCGAATTCTGTGCTATAGCAAGAGATGAGTGAGAGGGGGAGAGGTGATATGGGGGGAGGGTGACCTACCATGGGGCAGGGGGCACCTGTATCGGGGATCCCGGAGGTCAGGGTTGTCCTGAAACGTGGAGTCACAGAAGACCACTGAGGCCTGTGGGCGGCAGCCGACGGGGAAGGTATCTCCAACAACAGCCCACTGGGGAGGGAAGCAGTTGTGTGCAGAGGGTGCTGGCATGTCCCCTATGGAGTCTGGAAAACAGCTGAATATGCCCCCAGCCCACCTCCAGCTCTTACCTGGGGCTCCCCCCACAGAGCCAGGACCTTACCCAGGTCGTGCAGGAGCCCTACGAGGTGGAACCAGTCTGTAAGAGAGAGACAGGGGAGGCTGCAGGACAGGGGGGCTGAGAAAGGAGCCCTGGACCGAGAGTGAGAAGGGGCCCCGGGCTGTGCCCCTCAGAGGCATCTCCTGGCAGAGGCCTTCCCCTCAACCTTTCCCTTCTAGGGCAGAGGCAGTGCAGCCCACCACGGCTGGGGAACAGACCCTTGTCAGGATGGGCCTTCCGGATGCCCTCTGCTGTCTGGAAGGCATGGAAGGAATTGGGAAAATCCACATCTGGATCTGACTCATCCACCAGGTTGTTCAGCATGTCCATAGCCGCCATGATAGTCATTTTTTTGCAGGAGAAGCCCCCAAACTGGGCGTGCTGGATGGAAAGGGAGAGGTCAGCTCCTCCCGGGGTGAGCAACATAGGGCCTACCAAGGGGTACAGGGCAGATCCACCTACAGAAGCCTCTCTGACCCCTGCTAGGCACACGACTGAGTTTGGATGGACACGGGGAAATGCTACCTTCTTCCTGACGTAGTCCACTGTCTGGTATGTGTGCATGAGCTTGTAGGTGTTGAAGACTCGGTCCAGAAGGGGGCCTGACTACAAATCAGACAGTCAGCTGGGCCACACAAGGGCTACCACCTCCCTCTCCAGGACAAGATCCAGTGTCAGAGAGGGCTTCCCAAGGATCCCTAGAGCTGTAGGAGGGGTGAGGTGCTCACAGTGTAGTTCCGGAAGTTGCCCTTGTCTTTGGCCATCTCTGGGTCCACATCAGGTCGGTAGATCAGGGAGGGGTCCGGGCCCTGGTGGGGAGGGCAGATTTGACCCCTTTCACTATCATGCCAGCTGCCCCAGGAAGCAAGAGTATCCTTATAGGGTGTGGAGGCTGGGGGGCCACTGAGGGCACAGCCCCGCCACAGACCATCCCAACTCTGGCCTGGCCAGCGAGTCTGTGGAGCTGTCACTGTGGCATCCTTGTCTGTCTTCATCTGCCATGTGGTGTCTGCCAGGCCCTGCTTGAGATGGCAGATGCCGGTGACAGCTGGTGCTGGAAGCTGTCTCTAGGAGGAGGCTGGGGCCAGGGCCTGGCCCCCAACAGGAAGCAGAGAGCCCTTTGTCCTGGACACAGAGGGCCAACAGGAGCTCCCTGTGAGAGGGTGGTGTAGCTGTCTTCCCACAGGGAGCACTGGTCTAGAGAGCTACTTCCCAGCAGCCGAGGGTACTCACCACAGCCACCTTCATCCTGGGAGGCAGCAGTGTTTAGTGGCAAGGCTGGCAGGAGGATGGGAATCCTGTTGGCCCAGGTAAGCATATATATGCCCACAGGTTACATAAGTGACCGATTCCACCAGGCCCTTGGCCTCAGGCCTTGGTAATGAGTGACCACCCATCCTTCACTGGATTTGGCAAACTAATGTGTCAGCACAAGAGTGGCCCCAGCTCCCTCGCCCTGACCCCAGCCTCCCTGTCCTCCAGGGGGGAATGACTGGATCATCGTGCCTACCCAGCCTGCTCTGCAAAAGCCTGTCTGCCCCTGCTGTGCCCACTTCCACGCTTGCAGCAAGCTCCTGGAGAGACCTCACCCTGTGTCACAGTGCATCACACACATTTCTCGGAAAGCAGTGACTTGTCCGTGGGCACCTAGGAACTGGGGGTAGGGCTCATTAAGGAAAAGCGATTCTGGGCTAGCAAGATGGCTCGGCAGCCTGCTCAGGCAGGCACAGGGGACCGCGGTTAGATCCCCAGCACCACATGTGGTGCCAGCCAAGCCCTCAGGGTGGGCTGAGCGTAGCACTTTCCTAGTGTGTGCAAAGCCAGGGGTTCAACCCCAGTGCTCTCATCAGAACCCTGAGGTGGGGTCTCATGGTGACAAAGAATGAAGCCGGCACAGGAAGTAGGGAATAAGGGAACCCATTTAACCGGTATAAAGACACAGAAGCAGCGCTCCCACTAGCCGGGGGGCTTCTGAGCAGGAGGCCCGGGAAACCTTCGTTTTGCTTTTGAGGCAAGGTCTCACTGTGTAGCTAAAGCTGGCCTCTAGCATTCTCCTGTGTCAGCCTCCCTAATGCTGGGATTAGGTGTGTACCACCATATGCAGTTGTCTAGATGTTTTTAAGAGTTTAATTTAATTTAATATTTATTTATTTTTGCAGTATCAGGGATTGAACTCAGAACCTTGGGTTTGCCAGACAGGCACCTATTCTACTGACCTATCTCTCCACCCCCTATTTTATTTTAGCCTTTTGAGATAGGCTCCCCCTTTGTAGCCCGGGCTGATGATGAGCTCGCAACAACCCACCTGCCTCAGCCTCCTGAGTGCTGGATTACAGGGCTGCACCACCATGCCCAGCGGTGTTTAAGAGATTTAGAAGGGAGCTTGGGCTGTTATGTAAGTAATATAATCTCTATCCTACAGGAGATGACATTTGTTTATAGAGTGTTGGCACAGTGCCCATACAGGGTCCATTTTTGCCCTTGAGTCAACAGCCTGCCTGATCATGTTTTGCAGAGATCCTAGACAGCTGAAGGACACCTGGAAGATGTTTGTGTAAGATCTATTGAGGGCTGTGACTCAGTAGACAATATTTTGGATTTTCTGAGTATTTTGGAATCAATTTCCTTATCATCTAATAGAACCCTAACTTTTTTTTTTTTTTTTTTTTTTTTTTTTGTCTTTTTGAGACAGGTTTCACTATGCAATTGAGGCTGACCTTGAACTCACTTTGTAGCCCAGGCTGGCCTGGAACTCACAGCAATCCTCCTGCTTTAGCCTCCTGAGTGCTGGGATTATAGGTGTGGGCCACCATATTCAGCAGAGTCTTAACTCTTGCCTCATTGACTTTTATTACTTTATTTATATATTTACTTTTAATGTATTTAGTACAGGGTCTCACTACACAGATCAGATTCATAGTGATCCTCCTGCTTTTCAGCCTCCCAAGCACTGGGATCATAGGCATGCGCCACCACACCCAGTCTCATTTGGCAGTCTCAGGGTGCCCTGGGGACTGGCCAGAACCACAGGCTCCAGATCGAGCCCCCTGCCCCCGCATCTGCCTGAGCAGGCACTTTAATCTGCGGAGCTATCTGGCTGGCCCCTGTCTCACTGATTTTTGTTCCATTTCCCCCCACAGAAGACGTGATGACCCTAATAACTGTCGGTAGGGAAAGGGGGCAATGACTGCTTAGCTGTTTGAGCTGTACAGGGGCATCCTGCAGAGGGCTGGTCTGATGGCCTGCAATAGGAGTCCGATGAGATCTCTCTGTGGTGGGTTTTATTCACAGGACCACTTAATAGGCTTTTGGCAAGAGGAAACAAAATGAAGAAGGAGACTGAGTGAACAGGGCAAGAACATGGAGGAGCAGCAACTCTGGCATGAGAGGTCCTGTAAGGGCCCAAGCCGCTCTTCACGGGGACTTAGGCAGGGAGCTGCTGAACTAGACCGGCCGAGAGATTATTGTTTATTTATTTACGTGTTTATTTATTTACTTTTTGGGGGCACAGGGAATCAAACTCAGGACCTCGCACTTGCCAGGCACAGGCCGCACCACTGAGTTATATCCCTCGCCCTGAGGAACTACTTTAGGCAGGAGTCCAGATAAGAGATGAATCTACACATTTGGAAAGTGGATTCCTTAAAGAATCAGAAATCAGGGAGGGTACTAGCAATAGTATATCTTTTCCTCTATGAAAAAGGTAGAGTATGGTATAAAAATTTTCCACAGGGAAAACAGAGGCTGGTTTTTGTGACAGTGACAGTGATGGTCTTGCCCTATAGCCTGGCAAGTTTAGAGGTGGATGGTCACCATGGACCTATGGAAGAAGGTCTAGCTCTAGAAAACTAGCGGCCTATGCACAGAGGAGGGTCTTTAAAGGTGTGATTGAAGGGGTCTTGCTGTGCAATGTTTGGGGTAATGAGAATGAAAGAAGAAAACCTGGAGATGAGGTAATGTCTTGTCTCATTAAGTACAAGGCCCAGGGCTGGGGAAATCAGGCAGTGGCCTATGTGCCTGCCTGGCAAACTCAAGGACCCAGGTTCGATCCCCAGTACTGCATGCCATGAAACCAGGTGGTGGGGGTGCCTGTCATCCCAGCATTGGAAAGGCTGAGAGATCGCTATGAGTCTGAGCTGCGTAGTGAGACCTCGCGCCAAATAAATAAATAAACTACTTAATTAATTTTGAAAAACTGAAGTAAATTTATCAGCCAGCCAAGACTGGCCCAGTGGGCTCTTGTTAACTCCTCGAAGGTTGCCAGGAAGGCTTGTTCCCTTCTCTGGGTCCCTAGAGAGGAGTTAAGCCCAATTTTGTTATTTACTAGGACTCAGTGCAGGCCTCATACTATTCAAAAGCTTTTTTTCCCATTGACCTCAGAAATGGAGCCACAGTCTTTATCCAGAAGTCCCAGCTTATGACTGGGCATGGCACCTGCCTGGCAAGCACAAGGTCCTGAGTTTGATTCCTGGTTTTAAAAAAAAAAAAAAAAAAGCACTATTTTGTGTGATATTCAGGAGGCTGGAGAGTAATTTAGCTGGTAGGAGTAGTGGAAGGAGACTGAGACAGGAAGAACATGACCCTAAAGGGAGACAAACGACTGCAGGCAAGACCCTCAGACTCAGCAGCAAGCAGGGCAAAACTTTAGGGTACAGGAGAGGATTATATGCCAAGGGCACTTGTTCTTTTCTTTTCTTTTTTTTTTTTTTTCTGTCTTTTTGAGATAGGGTTTCACAATGCAGTTTAGATTGGCCTTGAATTCACAGTAGTCCTCCTGCCTCAGCCTCCCGAGTGCTGGGATTATAGGTGTGTGCCACCAAGTCCCACCTGACTCTTCTTCTTCTTCTTCTTTTTTTTTTTTTTTTGTTATACAAACATAAAACATAACCTAGCAGGTACATGGGAGTTGTCTTGAGCCTGGTGGAGACTACCGTGCTCTGTCCCATGATGAAGTTATTCTTTTACAGGAGTCTTAGAAACAGTGGATTTAGCCAAGCATGGTGGCACAGGCCTGTAATCCCAACACTTAGGGGGCTGAGGCAGGAGGATCGTTGCAAGTTCAAGACCAGCCTGGCTACAAAGTGAGCTCAAGGCAGCCTGAACTGCATAGCAAGACCCTGTCTCAAAAAGACAGGAGAGAGAGAGAGAGAGAGAGAGAGAGAGAGAGAGAGAGAGAGAGGTGCAGATGCTCTTATGGCTTTAACTGGCCCACCTGTGCCTGCAAGAATGCAACCAGACATTTAAAATGAGACAAGGTCTGGGGTCTTTCTTACTCCAGGCCCACTAAGAAAAGGAGTCATGGTGGAGAGAGGCAATTCATTACATGTAACGCCTGTAAGATGGCTCAGCCGCATAAGCACCTATCTGGCAAGCACAAGGTCCTGAGTTCAGTCCTTTGTACCAAACAAAAAACCTAACGCCTGTGGGGAGTTAAAGAACAGCATGCCCAAGGGTCAGGAGCTCTGAGGAGCCAAGAGCACCGAGGGCAAAGGTCGCTCCCTCACTAGCACCAACTGGAAAGGAAACTTGAGCTGGGATAGGGATCAGCTCAGCCCACAGCAGTGAAACCTGCCCAAGACCTCAAGGTTGGTGAGATGCTCATCACTTTTAATTGGTCGACAGGGTCCCAATATGGTTTTGAGCATAAAGCTGCAAAGTGTGTAAGAAAGAATTGACTTTACTTGCCTCCTCTTTCGATCCCAGATTAGGCCCCAAATATGTTGCTGCAACGCTGGAGTCAGATCCCATGGTGATGAAGAATGGAGCTGCAGCTGGTAAGGTCTTTTTTTAAAAAAGACATAAATGCAAGAAAGTAAAGCTCCTACTAGCTGGAAGAGGGCTCTGTCTGTGGGCTTTTAAAGGGCTCAGAAAGGAGTTCGGGTTGTTTGTAAACAATATAATCTCTACCCAACAGGAGCGATTATGCCCTATATATTTTCTATCGTCCAATCTGCGTGATGTGCACACAGTGCCCAAGGAGGGCCCATGTGCCTTTGTGATAGTGGGCTCCCTGATCAAACTCCAGGAGGTCCCATGCACCCCCGGGCACCCAGCAGATGTTTCTGCAAGATCCTGCAGGGTGGTGACTCAGCACATTCCATTTTGGGCTTCCCAGCTCCATTCTGGGGCCACTGTCCTTACTGCCTAATAGAATCCTAACTCCTGTCTCACTGACTTCTGTAATAGTACCAAGCAGAAAAAGGAAGAGGAAGCGAGGGGCAGGGTATATTGCTCAGCGGCACAGCATCTGCCTGGCAAGCGTGAGGTCATGAGTTTGATTCCCTGTACCAAAGGGCAGGGGGAAAAAAGAGGAAGGCAGAGGGAAAGACAATTATCCTGATGCTTGTTAAAATGGCAAGGAAAACTTTATTGAAGACTGTTGCTTTGCAGTAGGGCAGTGAGGTGACTAGATACAACTAAGATGGCTGGAGATTGATGACCGATGAGCAGAACGAGGGTCCATGGCTGTGGCACCAACGGTAGGAGGGCGCTGAGTCCCTAACGGGGTTCCTGTGGTGGGAAGGGCCAGATACAGAGTGGGAAGATTGGCACTCATGCTGGGCTAGGGCTAGGCAGGCCTAGCAAGGCCGGGGCAAGGTGAGACCTAGTCCTGAGGAGGCTGGGGGAAACAGGAGAGTGTTGAGGGCCTCCGTGTGCCAGCCACCCCTGACCAGGACTCAGGCAACAGAGCCATGTGGTCGGCTGGTGCTAAGGACATAGCAGGAACCAGGTGGACAGCTGTGCCTGCCTGGGGAGCGACCATGTCGCAGAAAGGGGCAGAGTGGAGAGCCCAACAGGGTGGACCACAAGGGTCAGAGGTCTGGGCAAGAAGCCTACAGTTGACCCTGTGTGCAACAGGTTCCTCATGCAGCTGTATGAGGCAAACTGGGGGGCCTTGCTGACCCCTCCCCACTGAAGCTCGCAAGCTGCCACCTGTTCCATCCTTCTGTCTGTGCCTGTGGGAATGCAGAGGTGTGGGTGATGAGCTCCAGGAGCCTACAGCTATTGCATACAGACCATGTGGTGCCGCTAGGTATGGCAGCACACACCCAGCCTCCCAGCATTTGGGAGGCTGAGGCTGGAGGATCACTGTGATTTTAAGGCCAGCCTAGACTGCATAGCAAGACTGTGACTCAAAAACAACAAAAGTCAGATGGTGCCCAGTCAGGAGAAGGGCCAGTTCCTGGAGGGGTTTTGAGAAGGGGCCAGCAGGATGTGCCCAGTGGTGTGAGAAGGGCAGTGGGAAGGTGAGGCTAGGGAGGCTTCAGACGCTGTGCCTCCTGAATGCCAAGAGGGGACATGCTGTGGCAGCGCAGTGTGCTGCAGGGCTGGCGTCACACCAGATGCAAAGCCGTGGCTGTGATGGCATGGGACAGCAGGCGCCGCTTCAGGGAAAGGCGCAAGACTTGGGGACCTTGGCTGAGAGCACTGGTGGGTTGAATTCTGGGGACCTGCAGGCCATCCCGCAGTCTGGGCTGGAGGACTCAGGATGGGTTGTTCCTGAGAGGGGAACACTGTGTGCTCAGAAGCAAGTGTGTGGCTGGACTCTGCCCCCAGTAGGGTGCCTCAGCTGGGCATGGAGTCTCCTCTGAGCTCCTGCTTCTGCCCGGCTGCCCTGGACTCCTTTCTGTCTTTGCTCCTGGTCACCACTGCCGCCTACCTCCACAGCAGTCTTCAGTGACCATAGGGCACGTGACCTAAGGCTGGACTGCAGGCCTCTCGGGGACCCAGCCTCACTCAGTTGCTGCCCCCCGCCCCATGCAGAGCCCTTGCGGCCCCCTGAACTTGGTGCAGAAATCTGCTTGTCTCACTGTGCTGCTGCTCAGTCCCACAGCCTAACGCAGGGAAGGTCAGTCACCTGGCCAGGTGGGCTTTGAGTTGCCAGAAGAAGCACAGGACGGGAGCCCAGAGGGGCAGTCCCAAGAGGCAGCCTGCCAGGGACCCCACTTGGAGGCTGAGTTGCACTAACTGGGGCACATCCCTGACCACTGGTGGCTCAGGTAGAAAGATCCCTCCGCCAGGGCAGCTAACAGAGTGATGCTGGCAAGCACTTAGAAATTCAGTACTGTGAGCACCTGCTAAGTGATCCACAGGCCTTTGAACCTGGACTCTGCTGGCCAGTAGCTAGGGATGACAGTGACATAAGGAACACATGCAGAGGCCCACTGGGGACAGGCATGCACCCAGCACTCAGTTCCTCCGCTGTGCTTCTCATTGTTGATGCCCAAGGTCAGTCCCCTGCCTGGCTCACGGCAAGGTACAGAGGAGTGAGCCAGCCTAGCCTCTGTTATCCCCACTCATGGTTCCATGGCTGTCCACACAGGTTGCCTTTGGAGCCCCACCCTTCCTTGGCTGCCCCCAACTCCCCTTGAGGTGGTATTGTCTTCCTGGGGCCTTTTCTCTTCTGTTTGGGTAGGGGGTCATGGCAAACATACACTCACCCACCTCAGGGGGAGGAGGGGAGTCTTTGGCTTGTGTTGGCCCAGACTGGCTCAGCAGCAGCCCTGACCCCTGTGCCACCTCCCTGATTACCCACAGGGGACCCAGAGGGGTCTCCACTGCATCCTCCGTCTGAGCTCCAGGGTTGGCAGTGGGAGCTGCAGAGATCCTTCATATCCCTGTCCCTCAGCCAGTCCTGGGGAACAGTGCCATTGTGTCTCAGGCCAGAGGCAGGGAGGGGTCCTGGGCCCAGGGAAGGGCAATGAGGAGGCAAGCGACACCCACTGGGAAGCGCACCCCCCAGGCCGGCCCACAGCAGGTCAAGCTGACGTCTTAGCCTCACATGCTTGCTCAGAGGGCCCATGTGTCCAGGACCCTGACTTCTGCACTTGAACTTAAGCAGTTCTGTCCCCTCTGAAGCCCTTTTGGTGCAAGGTGCTGTCAGCCACCTCTGTCCAGCACCTGTCCCCGGAGTGTACAGAGTTCTGGGATACTCAGCCCCCTGTTATGCAGACACTGTGTGGGCACCAGCTGGGGCTGCACACCTGTATGGGTTTACGTGTCCAGAGCCACATGGGCACAGCTGCTGCAGGGCCAGGTGCTGACTGCAGCTTTGGGGACCAACCAGGTAGGAGCTCTACCACAAGTCTGGGATCAAGGGTGCCTTGTTCCAGTTGGGCTGGGACCCAAAGGGTGTCCAGGGCCCATGTCAGCCATAGCTGTGGGGGCTACTGGGATCCATAGGAGCTGAGTCTCGCTGGCCAGCCGGCCCTACCAGCTGCCACAGACGGTGGCTGAGTTTCTGCACCTGGCAGGTGCCCAGCACACAGCCCACCCGCATGAGCTGGGCGTGGGGTCTCCGGAGGCCTGAGTGCTGCCGGGAGCTTGGATGTCGTCGGCCACCATCCCGGACAGCCCGGCCCTTAGCAAGGGCTAGGCTGACTGCTTTCTGTGGCTGGGCGGGTAGGTGAGAGTGTCGGGGCAGCAGGCCACTGGGCGTCCGAATAGGAGGCTTCCTGTAGAAGGGAGGGAGACCTAAACCCAGTGCTGGGCCTTCCAGGGCCTGCTCACTGCCTGCTCCTCATCCAGGCTGAGAGTTTAGGTAGGGGAAAACCAGCTACTTCTGAGTGGACTGGCACAGGACCAGGGGAAGCCCAAGCCCCCCCCCCCAGCCTGCTGAAGCCAGGCAAGCCCACCCTCTGTCTGAGCCGGGGTCACATGCCCTGAGAACAGCACCTCCCTGGGCAAAGGGCACCAGGGCACGGTGATTCCGTGGGTCACCGCTCAGAGTTTAGTGACTCCTCAGCCCTTCCCTTGTCCCGCCTGGGAGTGTCCCCCCTCCCCTTCCCTGAGGGACCCTTTGGTTGGGAGGGTCTCTAGAAGTGGGGGAGGCAAAGGAAGAGAGGCCTCTTGCTGCTCAGGCAGGGGTGGGGGTGGCCCTGGCTTGGAGATGAGCCTAGCAATAGGTTCCCAGGGGAGGTGGGCTACAGGGAGCGACACAGGTCTGCCGGGCCAGGGGTCGGTAAGGGCGGGGGTGGGGCCCTCACCTGGGCCGCGCCGGCAGAGGGCTCCCACGCAGGCTGCCGGAGCACGCGCCTGGGAGCTGCAGGTGCAAGAGGCTGATGCAACCGAGGGCGACAGCGACGGTCAGCAGGCGGGCCATGGTGGGGCTGCGAAGGGGGCGGAGAGGCGGGCGGGCAGGGAGAGGCGGCGTAGGCCGGGGGCCCTCTGCCCGCACCCCGAGAGCCCCGTGAGGTCTGGGCAGGGGCTCGGTACCTGCGTCCCTCGCGGCGCGGCGGGGGTCCGTTTCCGTCCCGGGGCGGGCGCGGCGTGCCTGTTGGAGCTGGCGGGCGGGTCGGGGCCTCCTCTGTGCCTTCAACCTTCGAGGTCGGTCAGGGGGCCGCAGGGGGCCCGAGGTGGCACCCCTGGTGCTAAATAGACGTCGAAGCAGGAGGCGGAGCTGGGCTACGGGGCGGGACCTCTCCGCAGCGCGCGACCGCACTCCTGGCGCCTTCTGGCGGGGACACAGTCCTGGAGCCCGGCGGGGCAGAAGGCTGGGGGCCAGGGCCACCCCATCAGCCACGTCACGTGGGGATGGAGCGACCCCAGCGTGAGAGCTGCTCAGTTCCCCACGATGATTTTTCCAGCCCTCTCCAAGCCCCTACAGCCCTGCTTATCAAAGTACCCCGAGAGTTTTGTAGGAAGTTTGCCAGAGTACAAAGCGAAACCCTCGCCTTGCCAGCTGAGGCTCTCGCGGCTCGCGGGTCCCTCTCCACTCTGGAGGGAGTGGGTTCTTGACCTCTCTCTGTATGTGGGTGTGCGTATTCCGGGAGTGTAACACATCCAAGCGCAACGTGTCGTAAGCTGCCGCACGGAGGGACCCGAATTCTTACGGTTGGTTGCGCTTCAGCATTCATGTTCTGTGGTCTACTTAGCTCTCTGTTGAAATTAGGCGACTTCCAGTCTTTTCAAGAGCAAGAATCCCCTGTTGCAGCAAACTCACAGCATGCCACCATGTCCACAAAACTTGCAGCCATGGTCTTTTGTGATCGTCCTCTGCTTGTTACTCTGAGAGGGACCCCTCATCTCCTTGTCCCTCCAGACGCACTTCTGACAGCCTTGCACCCTCTTTTGGGCTAGTCTGAGACCTGGCCCCCTGTGGGTCCTGCTCTGTAAACATTTGCCGCATGAATAGGCTGATGAGTGTTGAGGTCAGAACTCGCAGGAGGGTGGGAAGCATCAGCTGATTCTCACCTGTTTATTTATTTCTACCTGTTGAGGGCAAGAATGGTCTCATTTGTGTCAGGAGAGTGGGATGGTGGCTGTGAAGGCAGGTGAACGTGGGGCAGATAGGCAGGTGCTGGGCGGCTGGCAGAAGTGTGTGCTGTGAGCAGAGGAGGGCGTGCACAGGCCCCCCACCCTGTTCTGGCCCAGCCCTACTGTTGGAAGGTGTGGGGAGCTGCTGGGGAGCAGGAAGAGGGTATGGTTTGGACCCACTGTGGCTGGCCTGTCCACTTCCTGGAGTATCCAGGAAGCGGTGTCTGTGGGGTCAGTCTCTAGCTTTGTGGGTCCAGGACTGAAGACAAGGCCAGTGAGAGCATGGACTTGAGGCCTCAGGGACAGAGAGGGTTTAGGAGCTACAGTAAGCATGGTCCAGAGAGAATGCAGCATTAGGCTGGTGGCTAAGGACAGCCCAGCCCTTCAGCTCTGAAAAGGAAGCAGCAAAGGGCAAGTCAAGGATCCAGTGCAGACACTCTACAAAGGACTTCTCTTCCACCCTCTGGGTCATGATTCCACCTGAGTCCACAGGGTGGATTTCAAAGAAATAGCTGTAGCTCAGTCCCACAAGTGACGCCTAGCCACCAGTAACTGTCACGGTCATTATGCATGTCCACAACACACTAGAACTTGGTGCGATATCCTATCCTCAAACGGTTAGAAGTGCTGGTCATTTACTTGCCATTCCAGTATTTATCTTATGTTTTACTCTTAGTACTTCTTTGCTATCATAAAAACTTTTTCTTAGTTCAATTGTTTTGAAACATTTAATTTTTAATTAATTAGTATTTAATTTTCTGAATATTGCTTAATTTTAATTTTTGTTCTAAGATTTATACTATATCTTTGACTTATAATTTATTTAAAAGACATTGTATGGTATCTTCTTCTAGTATTAGAAACTTTAAAAAGTATGTTTCCATTTCCTGTTGACTTTATATTACTTCTTCCCTGTCTTTTATACACACATACACACACACATATATGGAAAAAAAATACGTGTATAACCCAACATAAGATTGGTACTGTTTCATAGAAATCTGCAATGACCTTTAAATAAGGTTCATCTAATATATCTTTTATATAGTCCTGCATAACTATCATATTGAGAGCTCTTTATTGTTCATCCAGGAGCATACTACAACTTCTCTTGCCTTTTGAATTATGCTGTTTGTTATTTCTTATATGCTACATCTGGAGGTATTAAAATATTTCAAGTTTGTATAACTAGAAAATCTTACTTTTAGTTTTCAAAGGTGTGTTTGCTAAATATAAAATTCAAAGAGGACAGATCTTTTCTTTCAGTCCTTTAATTAATCTAGTTTCTTACACCCTTGGTCCTTTTTTTTTTCTTTCTAATGTGGAATAAGATGCCATTTAATTTTGTTCTTCCATAGCTAATATTTTTATGTATATGCTTTAATGATTTTTTTCTTTACAAGAAGTTTTGGACAATTTCATTTTTGTGCGTCTTGGTATAATTTTATTTAAATGTCTTTGCAAAAGGTTCATTTTTCTTGGAAATGGGGTATTATAAGTTGAACTAAATTCAGAAATTTTAAATCTTTAAAAAAATGCTTAAAACTATTGTTTGAAGCAAAGTACAATTCCCCTATGATGAATGCTATCACTATGTATATATAAAATGTACCAATAAAAAAAAATTCAAGAAAAAAAAAGGATCCAGTGCAGAACTGAGCCTGCACTCAGCCACCTCTCAGCAGCAGCCCCTCTCCACCTCAGTCTGTCCCTGTGCTGCTGCCAGGATCCTTTCTAAACACCACACCAATAAAGAAACCTAAACTAAAATCTCCATCTTCATCAGGAAAGGTGAGCCTCAGTGAGACTGTGGGCAGGAGCCCTGTGCTCTTTGGTTTAGACCCTGACACCACATAACAGTCACTGCCTCCATGAGCTCAGGGCCCATCTCTCCAAAAGCCCATGGGGTGGCCGGGGTCTATCCTTTCGTCCTCAGGCTTCCACCTGGCTTCCCCTACCTTGCCCATGGTACCTGGGTTAGTGGTTCACTCCAGGGCCCTAAAGCACCCTGAATGGTACATTTTTGGCACTTGCTGTATACAACTGTCTACGTGTGCCCTTCAAGGGAAGTCCCAAGTGCCTTATTCATTTCCCTTAGTTGGAGAAGCTGCTTCTGGGGCTGCTGGGCTACCCACCATAACATGATTAGAGAAACAGGGGAAAGTAGGCCAGAGATCAGTAAGGGAGCCAGGACTCTGCTCAGGAGAGCTGTGTGGTACTGGTGACACTGTGGAATATTTTACAGAGGTCTGCTTGGAGCTCGAAGGGTGGTAGCCACATCACAGGAGTCCCTGAATGTGTTAGAGAGTAAAGTTCGAGCCTGATGGTAAGGATCCCAGAGAGAGAAACTGAGTGTGGTGGGGACACTGATTGCAAAGGCTAGGAGGTGTGCAAGAGGACAGGTTTTGTGAAGTGGTCTCGCTATGTAGCCCAGACTGGCTTTGAGCTCAGGGTAATCCTTCTGTCTCAGCCTCCCAAGTGCTGGAATTACAGGTGTATGCCAATATACCCAGCTTGGATGGGCCTATTTCCATAGTAACTGTAGGAGGTTGGGTATGAGATAGGCAGGCTTGTGTCTTGGTGATGGGACATAGTTCTGCCATCTGATGCATCTGTTTCCTCTGGGAAGGAAGAGTGACTGAGAAACCTTGAGACATGGAAAAGGAAGTCAAAGGATTGAGGTGACTACAGAAGACAGCTGATCAGATCTGCAGGGTGGGCATATGTGTGTGTGTGGGTCTTCTATCCTAGGCTGGGGCTACAGTGTCACTGTCAGTCACTATGTCCTGTATGGTAGGTGCAGGACTGGAGAATGTGGATGGTCAGGATTATACATGGCTAGTTTTTATTTTTTATTTTTTTAATGTATTTTAGTACAGGGTCTACAGGGTCTTACTACACAGATTGGACTCATAGTAATCCTCCTGTCTTCAGCCTCCCAAGTGCTGGGATTCTAGGCGTGTGCCACCATGCCCAGTCTTAGTCGTGTTTCAGTGCACCCCCGGGGCCAGGGATCGAACCCTGGTCACTGCGTCTGCCTAAGCAGGCGCTTTAGTCTTCTGACTGTCTGGCCAGCCCTAATATTCTCTCTCTCTCTCTCTCTCTCTCTCTCTCTCTCTCTCTCTCTC